CACAAGCTCTTGTGAAGACCTTGTCTGGATGGGAAGGGAGGATGGATGTGGGAGTCCTTGTTAATGGTATAGCAATATGGATGTAGCAGTTTTACCTCCTGTCATTTTCAGCTTAATTAAAATGTAAGTACCCTGGACCTAGAAGTTCAACACAGGAACTGAACAGACATCTCCAAGGAGAATCCAACATAGCTAGCAGGTAAAGTTCATATGGGATTATGCTTTCTTTTAGCTTTCTGAGAACATCCCCCCAAAATGTGTAATGTTCAATCAGTAACTGAAGCTGTTTTTAGAATAGTGTTTCCTATAAACTGAGATCAGGGAGGAAGATGTTACAGAAGTGCAGAAATAAGGGCTTTTGGAACCATTGATAATGAATTTACAAGCAGGGTAATTTTTGTCATGGCAGAACATCCCTGGGTAAAGGGAAAAATTAGGAAGTTGCCTGAAATCCTATGAACTCACTGTTTTGCTTAATAAACAGAAGCCAAGCTTTTAACAGATAAAGAGGGATATCTTGTACATGTCAGGACTTAATATTTCTAAACACAAACAAACCTCTCTTTACCCAATATAAAATCATTTCACACCTGCTCAAAACCCCAGTAATCCCAGTTTATGAGTGGCAGCAACGACCTTTAGGAAGGTAGTCCAGCAGAAGTAATTCTGGACCTGCCTCCACCTTGGAAGCGTATTTATGGCTTCCATTGCTTCTCAGGCCTCAGAGTCCTCCTGCTTCAAGTCTGAGTGTTTATTATGTCAGATTGAAGTCTGCCAGTAACCAAAAAGCAGAACTATCAATTCCAGCCCTCCTTTCCTAGCAAAGACATTGACATTATGAGCATTTTGGTTTTGTGAAAAACAATGGAAAAAATCTTGTGAAATGCGTGGAATAGGAAGGCAAGCTTTTTTTGTGGTTAAAAATAGCATCTGCAATAATTCCATGACAAGACTAAAAGTGACTTTCTTACTGTGTGGAGGATGCTAAATAAGACTTTTTAAACGGTATCTTGTGCTAGGATAATTATGGGAAAAAACAGCTCTACATGAATCTGACAGCTGTTTTAAAAGCTCAACTGGCAGCACCATTTGCTGTAGTGCAGAAGACCTAGGTTCAGAATCACACACACAAATTTTTGTCGTCTTAAAAGCCAGCAGGAACTGGAGGTGGCATAAAGAAAATGACAGCCTTACTGCAAAGGCAAACAGAAATCAATCTGTGATCTTGAGCTGCGTTTGTGTTTCCCGTATCAAAGGGGCAAGGAGTTAGAGGCAGATACTACTTCCCAGAATGGCTTGATGTCCATAGCTGGATGAGAATTCTCTTTTTCTTTAAATTTACAGAGGCTGCCTTGGATGTGCCAGAAAATGATGGATCGGTACAGTCCTATAAATCCCGAACACATATGTAGTAAACCTTTCTAAAATAACTTACAAAACAGCCTTCCAGGAGGAGAAAAAGTCTGCAATAATGACAGCACACTGATAGTGCAATAAAGAGGAATTTGTTATTCTGACTGCGGGGGTTGACAATGACCAGAGGGCAAATGGATAAAATAGGAAGGAAGAGCCTATGCTCAAATGTCAAAAACTCTCTGCCACAAATGAAAGAAAAATAAATGTGTTTACTTTGTATAAGCATAATAATGGTAATAAAAAAGATAATTTATCTGACCACAATAAGTATTTCTGAGCTTGAAGCTGAGGATGCAGCATAAATATACCTGTGCATAAATATACGATTCCTTTCAAATGTTCATTGCCATGAAATGAGAAGAAATCTTTGCCATCTAATGGTGAAGAAAGTGGCAGCAAAAATGAAAATGAACAGTAAGTGAAGGGATAAATATGTAGGATGACCTTCTTTACGAGAAATTTTTGTTCACATTTTTTAAGCCACTGTTCGATTCCAGAAACAAATCTGATCATTATCATTGTTTCTTTTATCACCTAAATAATATCTACTCACAAGTATGACTACTTCTGTATGAAATTAATTTTGCAGGCATAAATTGGACCCTCAAACAAGATCTCAGTCCCACAAAGGAACAGTAATAGATTGGAAACCCAGTTGTTTTTCTGAAGTTATTTAGTTCTAAGCAAATCTTCCTATGCAGTCTGCCTGCTTTTTATTTTTAGTTCTTCCTTCTTTGTTATTGAATGCTTTTGTAAGAAAGAAGGATTTTTGTTCTGAGTTTTTCTTCCCCTGGTATTTCCCATATGAAGTTACAATCCTCTGATAGCTTTTAGGAAGAGCATTAGAACGTGCCATCACTAATTGCAGATGAGGATTTAAAGCAGGGATGGGCAGGAGAAGCAGAAAGATGAGATTACCAAACCTGTCTTCATTCAGACTGCATGGATGTTTCGCTTCCCCCTCTGCTGCTCCAGGAAGTTAGCCTGGCTTCCACATCTGTCCTCATGGCAAGGGAAAATTGTTTTTTCTTGAACGCGATGAAAGAATAACATTTCTGATGAAAGACTGATCTCTCTATTGTACATTGTTCCTAAAGAGCCATTGCTACCCTGAGGACTACACAAAATGAGTTGGTTCATAAAAGCACAAGAGAAGGAGCAGTTGCAAACAGAAATAACTTCTAAACACCAAAAAAAAATGCCAGAGTTCTGTTGTGGGATTATGTCTTCCTCCTCCACAATTTTTTTGTTGTTTCTGTTAGATTGTAAACTTCTGAGTACTGTTGCTATATCATCACATATACCATACAAGTGCTTCCTGCCAG